GGGTTTTCATAATTTTGACGCGTTCTTCTTTTGTGTAGCACTCCATTTTTAATAATTGAAACAATCATAGGTGACAGCTGTCAAATATCAGAGTTGCCACTTGCACAAAAAAAAATGACGCAACATTTTAAATAATGCATCCGTCAGCTTATCGATAGTTTCAATTATCAGTAATTAAATAACCATTCTTGAAATGGTTATTGCACATTTATTGTAGTTTACTAATCTAAAGCTTATAGATACGTTTACAAATCGTTTGAGAATAGGCTGGTTGTCTTTTAAAAATGTATAACAACAAAAATATTATTTTCTTAATAAAACATCTATAAATAAATGTGTAATATCGTCGTGTCGTGTCTAATAATCCTTATTGCCTTATAGTTTTGTAAAAATGCGATAAAAAACGGCGCACGATCTCACGTTCTGCCCCGGAGAGTTAGTTGACCATTATCCCTTTAATGGATCATTATTTTCGGCCGTTTTCCTACCTTTCTCATTTAGGATCTAATTATTTATATCTATCAGTCAAGTCGTCATGGCTGGCCATGCCGATGCCGTGCTGTGGCATTTGTTCAATTCACTTTCGTCACGTTTTTTGGGATAGATCTGTCTAAGGTATTTCACGATGCTCGAGTGAAAACTACATTCGTCTTTATGGAATTTTAATCAAATGTACCGTTTCTCCGATTTTTATAAATGCTTTTTAATATAGTAATGACCATAAAAATTTCAAGAAATTTTCACATATAAATTAAATGATTCAAAAAGCCCAAGGGGTAAAAATATCTCGGAAAGTATAAGAGATATTTGAAGTTTTGAACTAAATCTGTATCTGTAATGTGAGAGGAATGAAAAGACATCTTATCTCACATGGCCTCATTATGCCCATTGTGCATCATCCAAGAGTAGGGTTTCCAGATTTACGAAAAAGAAAAGCATGACAACGTGACAACATGGCATCAGGTTCGAATACCAAGTATTCTTATATAATCAGATTGTGAAATTTCTAAAAAAAGGTCTTCAGTTATATTTTTCGTAAATGGGAGTCCTTAAGCCGAAATTTTTCAAAAAAAAGGTCCACGCGTTTTCTATAAATCCGGTTCCATCTTTTTATTTACGGCTTTGAATATTAAAAAGCGTGGCATTAGCGTAAAAGCGTGGCATTTTGTTCAAAAGCGGGACATTTTCGTTGCGCGTACAAGCAAGTCAAAAAGCGTGAAAAAAACGCCTAAACCATGACGTCTGGCAACCCTATCCAAGAATATGCCTTTCAGCTCGTCAAATATCTTTCTGGTTGACAACTACGCCTAGAGGTGCGTCTTTCGGGTTATCAAAGTCCTGTAATTTAATAATATTGCCGAGAGTTGTCTCTAGACCCATTTTTTTTTATTAACCTGTTTTATGTGAACATAAGTGGCTATTTGGTAGCTTCTACCACTTTGGTGGAAATGTCCGGGTTAAGCTATTCTGTACACCTAAAACACAGGTCGATTTTTCAATTCAGTTAAAAATATACTTTTAATGGATAAAAGTTTAACAAATAAAAAAATTATTATCGTTAAAATAAACAAAAGATTTTTCAAAATTTCTAAGTATCTATAAAAAATTACAAATAATTACTAATTATTTCTGATTATTTCGCAAAATGTTTAATCATTTCTAATCAATTCTATTCATTCCCAATAATATCTAATTAATTCTAGTGATTTTCATTTATTTGTAATTATTTCTAATCATTTATAAACATTCTTAATCATATATAATCATTAGTAATTATTTGTCACCATTTAAAATAATATAAAAATCATTTAAAAATCATTCAAAAATCATTTAAAAATAATTTAAAAATAATTTAAAAATCATTTAAAAATCATTTAAAAATCATTTAAAAATCATTTAAAAATCATTTAAAAATCATTTAAAAATCATTTAAAAATCATTTAAAAATCATTTAAAAATCATTTAAAAATCATTTAAAAATCATTTAAAAATCATTTAAAAATCATTTAAAAATCATTTAAAAATCATTTAAAAATCATTTAAAAATCATTTAAAAATCATTTAAAAATCATTTAAAAATCATTTAAAAATCATTTAAAAATCATTTAAAAATCATTTAAAAATCATTTAAATATCATTTAAAAATCATTTAAAAATCATTTAAAAATCATTTAAAAATCATTTAAAAATCATTTAAAAATCATTTAAAAATCATTTAAAAATCATTTAAAAATCATTTAAAAATCATTTAAAAATCATTTAAAAATCATTTAAAAATCATTTAAAAATCATTTAAAAATCATTTAAAAATCATTTAAAAATCATTTAAAAATCATTTTAAAATCATTTAAAAATCATTTAAAAATCATTTAAAAATCATTTAAAAATCATTTAAAAATCATTTAAAAATCATTTAAAAATCATTTAAAAATCATTTAAAAATCATTTAAAAATAATTTAAAAATCATTTAAAAATCATTTAAAAATCATTTAAAAATCATTTAAAAATCATTTAAAAATCATTTAAAAATCATTTAAAAATCATTTAAAAATCATTTAAAAATCATTTAAAAATAATTTATAATTTGGTATTTTTAATTATGTATAATGATTTATAATCATTTATAATTATTTATAATAATCAATAATAATTTATAATCATTTATAATTATTTATAATCATTTATAATCATTTATAATCATTTATAATCATTTATAATCATTTATAATTATTTATAATCATTTATAATCATTTATAATCATTTATAATCATTTATAATCATTTATAATCATTTATAATTATTTATAATCATTTATAATCATTTATAATCATTTATAATCATTTATAATCATTTATAATTATTTATAATCATTTATAATCATTTATAATTATTTATAATCATTTATAATCATTTATAATCATTTATAATCATTTATAATAATTTGTAATCATTTATAATCATTTATAATCATTTATAATCATTTATAATTATTTATAATTATTTATAATCATTTATAATCATTTATAATTATTTATAATCATTTATAATCATTTATAATAATTTGTAATCATTTATAATCATTTATAATCATTTATAATCATTTATAATCATTTATAATCATTTATAATCATTTATAATCATTTATAATCATTTATAATCATTTATAATCATTTATAATCATTTATAATCATTTATAATCATTAATAATCATTTATAATCATTTATAATCATTTATAATCATTTATAATCATTTATAATCATTTATAATCATTTATAATCATTTATAATCATTTATAATCATTTATAATCATTTATAATCATTTATAATCATTTATAATCATTTATAATCATTTATAATCATTTATAATCATTTATAATCATTTATAATTGTTTATAATCGTTTTTAATAACTTATAATAACTTTTTATCATTTGTAATCATAATTTTACAGGCATGTAAGTTTTACCTAGACTTAACAGCATAATAACACATATTTTATTACGTTGCAAATAAATTCATATATTCATACGACATTGAGCAAAAATTATTAATTTAACAAGAATAAAGTCCCAAGACATAGCATTTAAATTATAAGTGAATAGATTTTTGCAGCTATTCTAATGAATTATATGTTTATATTAAATTATAATGAAATAAATTTTAAATTTGCTCTAATTTCCAGATTACTTTGACGACGCTGCTTCAAATGATACAATTAAATGACACTCATAAAGTATAAAATTTATTCACAATTAAATGTTTTAACTGAACGGCATATATAAAAAAATAATGTAAATTTTCTAATGATTGTTTCACAAAAAAATGTTTTTTTAATTATTTACGTTTTCATTTAATCTTTTTCACTGTAAATCTAGAGAGAATGTTAGCATTTTGTCCCTTACACTAACAAATTAACGTTAAAAAAAAAATAATAAAAAGTTGTCGTCCCAACCTACTCTTTGAACTAATCCTCGATATTTTAATTCCAACCCTCCATAATTCACTCACGCGTCACACGAGTTGGTATAACGTTGTAGGATGTGGGTCGTTATGAGCTCCCGCTGAGCGTTGCTCCACTTGATATCAGAGACAGGAGCCTTCGCCCGTCGGTCTTCTCTTCGTCGAGAGGTGAGGACCCACCCCAAGAAGGAAGACGCTGATGATACCGATGTTGAAACTGAAGACGGCATGCTAGGGGCCTGTCTGACCCACTGCTACGGTAATATCTCGTCATGAGCTTGTCGTAAATCAGAAGTTGATATTATGGGAGAGAGTGGGAACGTGGGATTTATATGATATTTTACATATTATAGCGGGTCGGTTTCTACTGATCATATAAAAAGCTTTTTTTGTATAAAGTGCACTGGAACATAGTTTTTCTGAGATAGCGGGGGGGTGGTCACAGGTGCAAGGGCAAAAATTACTCTATCGAAATACATATCAAAAATCCAGAACTACCAGATGTTTTGTAGTGCAACCCCCTTGAAATAGTACAGGTTGTCTACAAAATCTATTTACGAAAGAAAACTACATGCTTTACCTAGTAGAGTGAGATCAAATGTGAATAATATGAGAATAAATATTTAGTTCTAATATTTTATTTATGTCGACATACATATCAAAAATCCAGAACTACTGGATATTTTGTAGGACAAAACCCTTTATTCACTGAACTATTATTTGTTAAAATTTAATTTAATTAACAACCAACTGGTATATTACAAAATTGTTCTAGGCACTTAAATATTTTTCTGTTAAAACAGTACAGGTTGTCCACAAAACCTATTTGCAAAAGAATACTACATGCTATAGTAGAGCGAGATCAAATATGAATAATATGAGAATGAATAGTTCTATTTTATTTATCTAGTTACCTTTGGAAATAAATGCACCAGCTAATAAATTGTGAAATTGACATCTGTCAACTCCATTATTTAAAGTTGAATATTGTTAAATATCGTAATTTAAAATGAATTATAGTAGATAGGAATTGACTGATATGATATGGGTATTGAGTGAGTGTCATAAAAATACATTTCATGCAAGCAGAATATATCAGCAGCGTTATCCAGAACGTCGTCAGCCTATAAATCTTAATGAAAGAGGTAATGTGGATTATGAAAAACACTATCGAACTGCTACAGTACTGACTGAAGAAAATGAAATTTTGTTAGCGACCAGTATTATTGAAAATCCTTATACAAGTACGAGAGAGTAACCAATTAAATATTTCGGGTACTACCATACGTAGCATTATTAAGAAAAATAAGTTTCATCCATATCACATTCAGCTACATCAAGAATTATTACCTCAAGATTTCGTAATTTTCTTAACAAAATTTTGTATTCTGATGAAGCTACGTTTCACAAAAAATTTATATATAGTCCATCCAAACAATAAGTCAACTATAAAGGAATACCGCAAACGCAAAAAAAGTTCGGCACCTGTTTGAATAATTCGAAAAAAAATTGGTATAGGGAACGGGTTGCTTGTCGGAAGTCAGCTAAACTAACTCTTTGATAGACCGCCCATAGACGGAGATATATGTTTTTACTTAATAATTTAATTATATGTACGTATTATAGGTATATGTTTCTTTCGATTTGAAGATTTAAAATAGTAATTTTTTATATACATATATACCTAATTAGAATAAAATAAGTAGGATTTATAACTGATGTTTTCCTTCAACGATTTCAGTGTTTTAGATAAAATTTTGAATTTTTTCTCCAAGAAGCGTGAATAGCTTTGTTGGTATACTGCCTCTGTAAGTATATTGTTTTTGGCGGTGTATCGCCTTTGACGGCTATGGCCTTTGTCGGCTATTGCCTTCGTCGGCATATTGTCTTTGTCGGCATATTGTCTTTGTCCATTTAAAGAGCCGAATTTTTAACCAATGCCGAAAAGGAAAATGAAACGTAGGTATTTGAATAAAAATAATTATTTTTACTTTCAGTGGAGTTTTGTTCATCCTAGTGACCTGTTGAGTTTTGTACGGATAACAGCTCCTACATCGTACTTTTTAAAATTTTATAGAATATTAGTTTCTGTTTTATTAGTGTTTAGTTTCGTTTTATCAATAATCAGTTTGTGTTTTGGAGTTTATATAGTAATTTTAATAAACGAATAATAATTTTTGTGTATGTGTTATTAACTATGTGGAGACCGTGGGATAGTATTCCGAGCACCAGTACATCAAACAGTGATGGAGAAACTAATGCAGTGCCTACGCAAATAAAAAATAAACTGTTTTTAAATGAACAGTCCCACCAAATTTGTTTAAATGTTTATAAAAAATTGTTAAAACGTGGATATATCGAAAACACTTCTACCGTTCAAGAAGCAGCGTTTCTTACTGGTATATCGGTTTATAAAATGAACCAAATTATAAAAAATGGAATTTCCAGCAGAAAACTCCGTGAAGACAAAGGTGTGCAAAAAAAAGTAGATCCATCCATGGCCAAATCCATTGTGAATACAGTGTATGAACTTTATAAACAAAATACCATTCCCACGCTTAAGTGAAACTTATTTCTATACAAATATAAAAAAGTCTACATTGTACAATTGGCTAAAAAAAATCGGTTTTAAATACAAAACGATAGATAAAAGAAGCGCAGTGATGGAAACAAGACGAATAGTAAACTGGAGAAATTCTTATTTACAGAAAATTCGTGAATATAAAAATGAAAGCAGACCAATTTATTTTCTGGATGAAACGTGGTATGATTCGCATGATACTGCAAAAAAGGGCTGGACAAACGATAATAAATATTGCCAAGCCTTAGGTATCCCTCTAAATAAAGGCACTCGACTGATAATATTAAACTGTGGCTCAGAGGACGGTTGGGTTGACAATGCCTTACTATTAATTGGAAAAAAAATTGATAGCTGCCAGATTGATTACCATTCAAATATGAATTCCGATATTTTTGAAGAATGGTTTACGAATTCACTGTTGCCTAATTTAAAGCCAAAAAGTGTAATAGTTATGGACAATGCTTCATATCACTCCAGGCTTAAGGAAAAAATACCTAACAAAACCTCTAAGAAAGATGAAATTCAAGAATTTTTAATGAATCACGATTTGTATTTTGATGAAAAATATAAAAAAGATGAACTTTTGGAAGTCCTAAAAACTAAAAATTTTAAAAAAAGTGTATAGTTGATGAAATTGCAGCTGAGAGAGGTCATACAGTTTTAAGGTTACCACCATATTTTTGTATTTTCAATCCTATAGAGTTACTCTGGAGCCAATTGAAACAAAATATTCGGAGAAAAAATATATTTCCCAAATTTGATTCTCAGGTCGTCAACTTGATCAAAGAACAAATGGATGCGATCGGAAAATCTCAGTGGGAAGCAGTTTTAAAACATGTGTATGAAATAGAAGAGGAATACAGGAACAACAGCGGCATACACGTAAATAATGGAGAACGATTTATCATAAATCACAATGAGGATGACGACGACGACAATGATATAATTAGTGATAACGAGGAGAAGGAAGACGAGGAGCAGGAATTTGGAAACAATGAGAAAATCTGAGTTAAATCAGCAATATGTAAGTCACATTTTAAATTTATAAGTCGGTCTATGTTTAGGTTATTTCTACATTTACTTTGTAATTTTAATTTTAAAATATTTTTTATAACTAAATTAATCAAATGTTGACGTTCGTATTCGTTTACTAATCGAGAAGTCACTTGGAAAGTAACCCAACCAGTAGAGATATGTTTGCACTATAACCAATTAAGTCAATTATTTCCTACCTATTTATATCTATAAGAAGGTAGGTATGTCATGCAGAATTGATATAAAATAAGAAACCTTTATTTCGAAGGAATTGGAAATGCACTAATTAAAATATTTATTCCAGAGACGGTATTTTATTTTTCTGAAAAAAATTATATACCGACAGTCGATAATTTCAATAGACTCTTTGCATTTGGTATATATTTATATCAGTTTTTAATTTTGTATCATATACTTGGAACGCAGTACCTATATTTCTACTTGTAGGTATATTGTTCATAATCGAATCCTCAAATTGATTGATTATTAATCTATTTTTCGCTTTGTAAAATTATTTATTACATCTATTTTATATAATAAATCGTAAAAATTGAAATATTTGGTAATAATTAATGTTTAAAATACTCCAACCAATTAAATTAAATAATAAACTGACTTAACGATGCGACGACACTGGCTTCTTCTTACTTTGCGGATACTTTTGACTACAATGCCGCACGACACGATATTCCAGTCTGTCTACACATGTTATCGGTTCATTTCAGCGACGTAGAGAGAAATAATAAACTGGACTACTATGTTTCAATTCGGAGTTGAGTTAATAATTTGTTTGGGCAGGCATAATAAATTACTATGTACTAGATTTTTATTGTTTATTGAAAGTGAAAATGATTCCTATCATTTTTAGAAAATGATTTTAGAGGCCTCCAAATATTGCCAATATAATGTTGTTTTAATTAGATGTAGACAGTACATTATCAGGTCAATGTACGTAATTTGTTCAATTTAAAACGAAGTTTTTTTATTTTTAAATTTCCAAAAATATAATCTTATGGTATAAACATATGAGATATGGACGAGGTAAGTTTGGCTCTTAATTAATTTCAGCCAAAGTTTCTTTTTCAAATTCGTAGAATAAATTAGTTTTTTAATATTTTTAGAATGTACCGATTTTTTAGAAACTGTAATAAAAATTTGAATAACATGGCAAGACAGCATCATTACTAAAGTAGTAAAAATATACATGGTGTTTTAAATAAAAATTTCATCAATATTTTTGCCACTTGAACGTTAAGCAATCTATACATATGAAACTATTTTCTAGTTATGGTGATTTTTAAATAAAAAAAATTGGTTTTTGTTTCAGTTCGATATATTAATCAGTTTTGGCGCTACACTTTTCGGGAACATAATTGGCCCACCCTGTATATTTACATCAATGGGACTACAAATAAATTTAACAAAAGAAAGTATTATATTGTTAAATTTAAGTAAATATCACCGAGTATCTACCTAAAAAATTAGAAACGGGGTAGTTGAGAGCGATACATATTTAGGAGTTCTAATTTACCCTACGGGAAGGGGGATAAGAAAATTTACTTATAAATAACAAAAAGTGACATTATGCTGGAGAAATACGAATAATATAAATATTTACAGAAATTTCTTGATGTTTGATCTCCTTGTTTAAAATTAATTTTATTATAACGCATTTAATTTTTCTGTAACGTCCGGTTTTTCCGGAAATAACAGTAAACCGCAATTAATTTTTTATAATTATGTGAAAATCCCAATTTTTTATTGAAAAATTTTTGGACATTTTTGAAAAAAAAACCGTTAATTGAAAATATTCGGTCAGTTGTCAAAATGGTTGCCATATTGGATAATACTATTTCTAAATATTTTCAAATATTAAAATCATTTTGGGTTTGTTTGAGAGCTTGGAATAAACATTTTCTTATAACGGGTTCAAATAGTCTGTGATGTCATGACTTACTTAGGTTTTTCCGGAAAAAAACAATAAATCGTAATAATTTTTTTAATTTTTTAATAAAAATATCCGTTTTTATTTAATTTATAAAAATCGTGTATTCAAAAGTTTATTAAACCTTTAACGGGGGTGGAGTTTCCTCTATGATTTTAAAAAGTGTTAAACATGAAAAAACTAGTCTTACTTAAGGACTATTTTCTGTTACATATTCAAAAAAATATGAACTATTACTGTCTTCGGCGAGGAGCCGAGGCAACACGATTACTTGGCTAGAAATATCAAAGAAATATCAAAGAAATATCAAAGAAATATCAAAGAAATATCAAAGAAATATCAAAGAAATATCAAAGAAATATCAAAGAAATATCAAAGAAATATCAAAGAAATATCAAAGAAATATCAAAGAAATATCAAAGAAATATCAAAGAAATATCAAAGAAATATCAAAGAAATATCAAAGAAATATCAAAGAAATATCAAAGAAATATCAAAGAAATATCAAAGAAATATCAAAGAAATATCAAAGAAATATCAAAGAAATATCAAAGAAATATCAAAGAAATATCAAAGAAATATCAAAGAAATATCAAAGAAATATCAAAGAAATATCAAAGAAATATCAAAGAAATATCAAAGAAATATCAAAGAAATATCAAAGAAATATCAAAGAAATATCAAAGAAATATCAAAGAAATATCAAAGAAATATCAAAGAAATATCAAAGAAATATCAAAGAAATATCAAAGAAATATCAAAGAAATATCAAAGAAATATCAAAGAAATATCAAAGAAATATCAAAGAAATATCAAAGAAATATCAAAGAAATATCAAAGAAATATCAAGGAAATATCAAAGAAATATCAAAGAAATATCAAAGAAATATCAAAGAAATATCAAAGAAATATCAAAGAAATATCAAAGAAATATCAAAGAAATATCAAAGAAATATCAAAGAAATATCAAAGAAATATCAAAGAAATATCAAAGAAATATCAAAGAAATATCAAAGAAATATCAAAGAAATATCAAAGAAATATCAAAGAAATATCAAAGAAATATCAAAGAAATATCAAAGAAATATCAAAGAAATATCAAAGAAATATCAAAGAAATATCAAAGAAATATCAAAGAAATATCAAAGAAATATCAAAGAAATATCAAAGAAATATCAAAGAAATATCAAAGAAATATCAAAGAAATATCAAAGAAATATCAAAGAAATATCAAAGAAATATCAAAGAAATATCAAAGAAATATCAAAGAAATATCAAAGAAATATCAAAGAAATATCAAAGAAATATCAAAGAAATATCAAAGAAATATCAAAGAAATATCAAAGAAATATCAAAGAAATATCAAAGAAATATCAAAAAAATATCAAAAAAATATCAAAGAAATATCAAAGAAATATCAAAGAAATATCAAAGAAATATCAAAGAAATATCAAAGAAATATCAAAGAAATATCAAAGAAATATCAAAGAAATATCAAAGAAATATCAAAGAAATATTAAAGAAATATCAAAGAAATATCAAAGAAATATTAAAGAAATATCAAAGAAATATCAAAGAAATATCAAAGAAATATCAAAGAAATATCAAAGAAATATCAAAGAAATATCAAAGAAATATCAAAGAAATATCAAAGAAATATCAAAGAAATATCAAAGAAATATCAAAGAAATATCAAAGAAATATCAAAGAAATATCAAAGAAATATCAAAGAAATATCAAAGAAATATCAAAGAAATATCAAAGAAATATCAAAGAAATATCAAAGAAATATCAAAGAAATATCAAGAAATATCAAAGAAATATCAAAGAAATATCAAAGAAATATCAAAGAAATATCAAAGAAATATCAAAGAAATATCAAAGAAATATCAAAGAAATATCAAAGAAATATCAAAGAAATATCAAAGAAATATCAAAGAAATATCAAAGAAATATCAAAGAAATATCAAAGAAATATCAAAGAAATATCAAAGAAATATCAAAGAAATATCAAAGAAATATCAAAGAAATATCAAAGAAATATCAAAGAAATATCAAAGAAATATCAAAGAAATATCAAAGAAATATCAAAGAAATATCAAAGAAATATCAAAGAAATATCAAAGAAATATCAAAGAAATATCAAAGAAATATCAAAGAAATATCAAAGAAATATCAAAGAAATATCAAAGAAATATCAAAGAAATATCAAAGAAATATCAAAGAAATATCAAAGAAATATCAAAGAAATATCAAAGAAATATCAAAGAAATATCAAAGAAATATCAAAGAAATATCAAAGAAATATCAAAGAAATATCAAAGAAATATCAAAGAAATATCAAAGAAATATCAAAGAAATATCAAAGAAATATCAAAGAAATATCAAAGAAATATCAAAGAAATATCAAAGAAATATCAAAGAAATATCAAAGAAATATCAAAGAAATATCAAAGAAATATCAAAGAAATATCAAAGAAATATCAAAGAAATATCAAAGAAATATCAAAGAAATATCAAAGAAATATCAAAGAAATATCAAAGAAATATCAAAGAAATATCAAAGAAATATCAAAGAAATATCAAAGAAATATCAAAGAAATATCAAAGAAATATCAAAGAAATATCAAAGAAATATCAAAGAAATATCAAAGAAATATCAAAGAAATATCAAAGAAATATCAAAGAAATATCAAAGAAATATCAAAAAAATATCAAAGAAATATCAAAGAAATATCAAAGAAATATCAAAGAAATATCAAAGAAATATCAAAGAAATGTCAAAGAAATATCAAAGAAATATCAAAGAAATATTAAAGAAATATCAAAGAAATATCAAAGAAATATCAAAGAAATATCAAAGAAATATCAAAGAAATATCAAAGAAATATCAAAGAAATATCAAAGAAATATCAAAGAAATATCAAAGAAATATCAAAGAAATATCAAAGAAATATCAAAGAAATATCAAAGAAATATCAAAGAAATATCAAAGAAATATCAAAGAAATATCAAAGAAATATCAAAGAAATATCAAAGAAATATCAAAGAAATATCAAAGAAATATCAAAGAAATATCAAAGAAATATCAAAGAAATATCAAAGAAATATCAAAGAAATATCAAAGAAATATCAAAGAAATATCAAAGAAATATCAAAGAAATATCAAAGAAATATCAAAGAAATATCAAAGAAATATCAAAGAAATATCAAAGAAATATCAAAGAAATATCAAAGAAATATCAAAGAAATATTAAAGAAATATTAA